CAGGAACAGGAAGAGACCAGAGCCTAGGTGTACCATTCAAGACATTTCCCAGAGACACAGCCTCTGGTTTGGCCCTACCCTGCACGTTTCTACCATCTCCCAATAGACATCTCTATCAATGGGCTAATAGGAATAGACTGGGTCATAATCTAACTGATTCTGGAACTTTCTTCCCAGGCACATACTCAGTGTGTGCTTTATAAGGTTATCAGAACTCAAAATAAATAAATAAATCACATGTTCTTTCTCATATGTTGGTCCTAACCCATAATGTATACATGTGTCTTAGGCTTCTCTTACTGTGTTAAAACACCATGACCAAAAAGCAACTTGGGCAGGAATGGGTTTACTTAATTGTACACTTCTAAGTAACACTCCATCATTAAGAGAAGTTAGAGCAGGAACTCAAAGCAGGAAGCAGAAACCTCGATCATGGAAGAATTCCATTAGGTTTGTTCTAATTATGTGCTTTCTTTTTTTTAATTTATTTATTTATTATTAAGTATACAGTGTTCTGCCTGCAGGCCAGAAGAGGGCACCAGGTCTTGTTACAGATGGCTGTGAGCCACCATGTGGTTGCTGGGAATTGAACTCAGGATCTCTGGAAGAGCAGCCGGAGCTCTCAACCTCTGAGCCATCTCTCCAGCCTCCCACGATGTGCTTTCTTATACAACCCAGGACCACCGGACCAGGGATAATACCACCCAAATTGGACTGGGTCATTCTACATCAACATTAACCAAGAAAATACCCCCACAGGCTTGCCTATAGGCTAATCTGATGGGGTGCTTTCTCAATTGAGGTTCCTTCTTCTCAAATGACTTTAGTTTATGTCAAGCTGACGAATAAAAAAACCTAAGACTATACTTTCAGGGATCAGTTTTATAGTCCATTACTAGTAGAGCACCCAAAACCATGAGGAGGAGACGTAGCATTCTCTCCTGAGCATGAAGACAGCTCTTAGTGTTGCTTCCTGCAGCTTCTACTTGTCATTGATGATCATTCTTCTCTTCCTGTGGAAGAGTGGGAGGCAGAGAATGCAGTCTGAGTGGGAACAAAACTAACCAACATAACATATGCATACACAAACAGGTATAACTCAAGGTATAATTTGAAATATAAAAGGGGAACAAGAAAGGACATTATTAGTTTACTTAGGATTTCTGTGACTATGAAAAGACACCAGGACCACAGCAACTGTTATAAAAGAAACATTTAATTGGGTGGCTCACTTACAGTTTTAGAGGTTCAGTCAATTATCACGATGAGGGGGGCATACAGGCTGATGTGGCACTGGAGTAGTAGCTGAGTGTCCTATATCTTGCAGGCAACAGGAAGTTGGCTGGGTGGTATCCTGAGCATAGGAAACCTCAAAGCCCGCCCCCACAGTGACATGTTTCCTCCAACAAGGTCATGCTCACTCCAAAAAAGCCTCACTTCCTAATAGGCCACTCACTATGAGGTTATGGGGGCCAATTACATTCAGCTACCACAATCAGGTGATGAGGAAGGCCAGAAGTAGGCAAATAGAGATATGAGTGACAAAAAAAAGGATATAAAACTAATGTTTTTCTTCTAGTTTCAACCCTCTCATAATTTTTTCTTTATCATGGTGGATGAATTTTTTAAAATGCAATTGAAGGACTGGATAGATTGCTCAGCAGTTAAAAGCACTTACTACCCTCTTGCCGAGGACCAGAGTTAGGTTCCTGGCATCCACATTGGTTAACTCACAACCACCTGTAGCTCCAGCTCCAGGGAATCCAATGCCCTTTCGGCAACTTCACTTGTACATGCACAGACACACATACACATGAACACAAATGTAATTTTAAATTTTTTTAAATGTAATTGATAGTGCAGGTGTAAAACCCTATTGGAACAGCCGTTGTGCAAAGATAGCCATTCTAACTACATAGAAATAAGACTGGGCAGTGTTAGAGCGGTTCCCTTAACTAGTGATGTGATGTTTTCATTTCTGAGTTAATTAGAAGAAAAAATGCAACTTTATTTAATGAAAGATGAGTGCTTTACTAATCCTCTGGGTTCTTGTCAATCTAATCAAGCTGACTGTTCAGACCATCAGCCGCACTCACCAAACTGCTTCCATGACAGGTAGAAAGCAGCAGAATGTCATAAGTAGGAAGCAGTTTCTCTTTGAGGGTCACAAGCTACTCTGGAAGATACATATCATCCTAAATTACACTATTTGTGTCAATTAAAAGCACACAGCCTATGCTGATGCGTGTATTTCCTGTTGGCTGTTCTATTGGCAAAAACATAAAACTGTCACATGGTGAGTGGGTCCATTGCAGTTACTACGGGAGACAGCTTAGATGCAGAAGCAATTACATGAACTTCCTTACTAAAGATGACCACTTTTAAGGATCATCAGAAAACAATTATAAAGCAAATGTCCTGGGTGGTTTTTTTCAATGTTTAAGTGCATTCTTGAATACTGTACACAATATGTGCTTACAAATTAAATTCCACTAAGACAGAAAGATAAATGAATGTGTCTGCAGCAAACCTACTTAAAACAAGACAAAGCAATGTGTTTATAGATAAGTCTATGCCAGAAATCTTCTGTGATCACCAACTCTCAGAAAAGAATAATGTCTTGCCATGGATCCCAAGTTTCCAAGACTTGAGTTTTAAAGCAGCAGAAATAATGTAGATGCATAAAAGGACTTTGTAGAGCCAACGAGATACCTCAGTGAGCAAAGGCACTTGCCACAAAGCCTGGCAGCCTGTGTTCAACTCCCAGGACCCACATCCGAGAAAGAGAGGATTGCCTCTGAAGTGTGTCCTCAGACCTCTATATGCACAGAGCGACATGTGTGCACTCGCACACAAATACAGAAAGAGGGAGAATGAATCAACTTAAATAGAGGAACTTTTAAGATAGAAAGTTTCAAATGGACTTTCCATGTGAATTATGAAATATGCAGAAGCCTGGGAACATATTAGTTATGCCCAGTTTTGTGAAACAATAGTTCATAGTTAAGAACAGAGATTGTCCATGGCTGTTGCAGCAGGCGCCTCCCCTACAGAACAGCAGCTTTGACCTTGTCAATAATTTGAGTCAATTGGTGATAAGCCTTAAGGTACTATATCCAAAAACACTTTGAAAACTATAATAGCATTAATTTCATATATGTATATATTTATGTCATTAATCAAAAAATATAAAATAATGGTTAAAAGGGAAGGCTTGGCTGGGATTACAATGAATGGTTCTGAGCTACCCAGCAGCTCAAACAAATAGAAATCAATATATTCTTTTATTATGTTCTGATAAAGGGAATCATACAAGTTCTTGTGAAAGCTAAATACTTTTCCTGATACTAAATCACTGTAGAAAGTATATGTGAATGGGAAAATAACAGATATTGGATATTAACAGGATCAAAATGCTCAACTGTTTTGAAGCCGCTTTGGAGGCATTTTTTTCAAGTTTTGTATTTTTAACAGTCTTGGTAAGTAGCCCTGACTGTCCTGGAACTGACTAAATAGATCAGGCTGCCCTCAAAGCTGTGACATGCTTCCTGAGTGTTGGAGTCCACATTTCAAGTATTTCTTATGGAAGTTTGTAAAGTGTATTGTCATGGGGCTGTTTGAGCTACTGTTGCATTCTTCATAGACTCTTGTAACTTGATTCAGGAACTCAGCTTAAAGACACCAGAACAAAACTAGGCCAACAGCTCAGTGAATAAAAAGCTTTCCGAGCAAATGAGAAGGCCTAGTTTAGGGACTCAGCACCCATGTAAAAGTCAAGTACACAAAGTGGTCAGCCTACAGGAGGCAAAGTCAGGTACTCACTGGGCATGGTGGCTAGAAACACTGGGCAAACCTGTGGGCTTCAGTTTCAGAGAGAACGTGCCCTAGGATCTTAGAAAATAAAATGGAGAGAAATTAGGGATGATCCCCGGTGTCATCCTTGGGCTTCCATGTTTACAGACATCTGCATAAATATGAACCCAAACACTTGTGTATGCAAGCACACACGCGTGCAAACACACATACAGAGACAAAGAATCAGCGTTTCTGAAAGGGTGTTTGAAGACACCATTAAATTATTATCTGATGCTATTTTTCAAAAGTGAAGGTTTCGGGGCCTATTCCAGAGTCTCTAAAAGAGGACTTGAGTCGTGGATCTGAAACTACACTGTAGGAATTGTATACATATGATGCTGGCTATTTACACTTTCGGGACCCATGCACCCCTCTATCCTGGAGATACTCAGGCTAGATCTGCAGTCACACTGCCATTGCCATAAGGACCTTGGTTAGTTTCTGTCAGCAGGGGACACTAGTGAGAGACTGGATGGTGGCAGGAGGGAGACAGAACAGGCTAGGTCCCCTCCTCATGTGCCTGTTGTCCCAGGAAGTATCACCAGCTGTACCTCGCCACTCCCCCAAATTCTGGTTGTTTCTAACAGCAGTGAGTTCTGGCTGCTACGTCCTTCTGTCTCTGCCAGGCAGCATGATGGCCGTCAGACACCAGCATCATCCAAGTCTGGATCCCAGCTCCACTGGGCTCTGCCCTCCTGAGGAAGCCGCACTTCCAGGCAGCTGCCTCTCCTCAGTGCCTTGCACTCCTGATTCATAGATAAAGCCCTCCTTTTCTGAGGCCCATACACTTCTGCCCTCGTTCTGTGTGGGGACTGTTTCTTCAGACCTTTTGCAGTGTGAATGCTCCCTGTGCCCTATCAGCTCTCTGATACTTAATACTCCAAGTAAATCCTCCATTGAGATCACTGATGTGAGAGAGAAGGGGAAAGGGAGGGAGGGAGGGAGGGAGGGAGGGAGGGAGGGAGGGAGGGAGGGAGGGAGGGAGGGAGGGAGGGAGGGAGGGAGGGAGGGAGAAAGAGCTAACAGACACTAACATTTTGAGTGCTAATGACTTGGAGGATTAAGGATACATTTCCCCCATGGTCTCCCTCAGTTATCAACTGTTGGAATTCCTGCTTTGGTACCAGTAAATAAGACTGATAAAGTAACATAAGTCACTGAGTTTTATTACATTAACATTTTTCTAAGAGCTTCCAGCTCCAAATGAGCTTGTTACAGAGTTAAGTTGTATTGTTGAAAATGAAAGATGAAGGAGTAAAAGAACTGAAGGATTCTGTGGTCATCCTTAGAAGACTCTGTATGAGTCTTCAGAGAAATACATTCTCAAAAGAATTTTCTTCAACTTAACTATTTCCATGGGATGTATGGCATGAATTATCTGCAAGAGAAAAAAACAATAAACTTTAGCTTTATATGTGTGAATGCCCATGATATCACATCAGGCACGTCTTGAAAATGACTTCCATCTTTGTTAGGATGTGGCTTCCACTTGAGGTATTTGTTTCCATCCATGCCTTATCTACAGGTTCCGGCCTCTCCACTTTGACTCAGCCTCTTCTGTCTGCAGATCCTTGTTGAATATGCAAATATCTGGAGCTGTCTCATAATGGGGACTCAACACATGTTGGAACTGGCTTGCCTTGCCTTCCTTCTAGTAAGCTTTCCTTCAGGATCAGTCTGTTGTGAATGGCCATGGCATTTCTTTTATGCACACATTTCACATCCAACTTTATGTACAATCCTTCCTTCTAGATAATAAATTCCTTGAGGGCACACAATGTACATTATATATCCTAGTATCCTTATTGCAAGTCACAGAACTTGCATAAAAGTAACTAACAAACTTTTAAAAATGAATAAATGGCCTAATGAATAGTCATCTAGTTCATAGGTCGTTCCTTCTTTGTCTGTCTGTTATATTGCAGTCATGTCCAGTTTTTCTACAAGTATGGAGGCTATAACATCTAAAATGCTTATATGATGTATACAGTGTTATAAAATTTTACTTTGTCTTGACCTGCATATGTGGAATGTATGACAGAATGGCCAACACAAACATCTTAAAGAAGACCTGTTTTAGCTCAAGGTTTCCAGTGCTTCTGTTCAGATTCTTGGCCCTAAATTGGGGCCAAAGATAACAGAGATGGGACATGAGCAATGTCTCATCTCATGGCAGACAGGAACCAAAGAAAGAGGGGCAGGCAGGAGTCAGTCTCCAAACATGCCCGAGGTAATTTACTCCCTCCAACCAAACCCCACCTCCTCATGTTTCCACGAGTCCCAAAAAGTACCACCAGAAGTCAGGCATGGGGGATTACTACTTTGGAGTCAGAAGCAGGTAAAGACCACATCTAAGTAAATAAATAAAAAGTTCTAGAGTGTAACCAGTTGGGGGTTATGGCATTTAACTCGTGGAGGCTGTGGAAGACATTGCATTTCCAAACCAACCACAGCAGAATACTGCCCACACGTTAGGCATATCCATTTAGTGCTACCAAGGGGTTGATTTTTCACCTTTCTCTGAGAAAACTGAGACTCTGAGAGCTTTACTCACCTTCCCATGGTCACATGAGACAGTGACTTCCTGGAAGTCTGACAGGTGCTCTTTTCACTTACACTGCGTAGTCCCTCAGGAAGCTGGTGATGATGACAATGATGAGCTCACCTGACAGACTGCTCTTTTCCCTTTCGGACACTCACTTCCACACCAGAAAGAACCTGGAGGAGTGACTCACAATTCCCAACCACAGTGCCAGCCTGTGTGCTGCAATTCTGACCATGAGTGTGATGATCACACCAGGGAGTCAGATGTCTGCTGGATTTAGGAAAGGATCCAAGGGTCATAAAGGGAAACAACACTGCTGAGGGCTGTTTGTTGTACTGGAACTCCTGCAGCATCTCTCCCTGCCCTTCTCCCCAGCTAGGAGCATGGCTACCAGAGGAGGAAGGACAGCAAGTGAGAGGTAGGTGTGGCTCACTCTCTTCCCCTTCTCACCCTAAAAAAACACTGAGGTTAGTGGCACTTTCTACAGAGGATTTATAGCCTGGACTGTTGACTTATAATAAAAAAAATTAAGAACTCTACAGAGCATTCATATACTTCAGACAGATACCGAGTTTCTCCAGAGTTTCAAATATAGTATTAATCCAGCCCTGGTGGTTTATAAGTTTGTCATCACAGCTAAGAAAGCTGAGGCGGAAGGATGGGAAGTTCAAGGGTAATTTAGGGAGATCCTGTCTCAGTACTAAAAGTTAAAAAAGGCTGGAGATATATCTGTGTGGAGGAGCATATGGAAGGCCCTCAGTTGAATTTCCAGGACCTGTCTCTTCATACAATACGCACAAGATAAATACTTACAAGACAAATATTGGATTAGGACAAAGGCCTAAAAAAGAATTTTCTTCATCAGTTAAAGTTACTACCATTGCCCAAACTTTTAAGCAAAGGTATTGACCACAATGGTTCCATCTTTCTCCACTGCATCCCTTCCTCCCCCACCTCTCTTCCCCTTTTTGTTGACAGTCTGAGCAGCCCTTTCTACCTCTCTCTGCTCTAATTCTCCTCCCTTTTTTCCTTTTGTGGAGAAGCAGTCTAACCATTTAATGAACTGATTTGTTTGTTACATCTGTTCTCCAACTTAATATGAACGGTTTACCCCCGGCTTGCATAAAATAAAAATCAGAAAGTGAATTTTTAGAACCAAGGCTAAATGAGTTATCCATTTTGTTGCTTCCTAATGTTACTCTAACAGCAGAGTATTAGGTTCAGTTTTTCTGAGAAATGTCTCACCCACCCACGTCGTATGTCAGAAAAATATGTACTTATTAGGAGTTGGCAGAAACTGTCAAAGGCCTAAAAACTAGCTGATTTTAAATATAAAGTCAGGCATTATGGTTTATACATATAAACCTACTATATAGGCTTATACCTATACTCCTTTACTGAGACAAGAGGATTGCTACAAGTTCCAGGTCAGTCTGACCTACATTGTGAGATGAAAAAAAAAAATAGTCAGCACTGACCAGTAAGTTAGTATTTCACTATTAGAGAAATAGGATATTTTGCTGTTATAAATTATTAGGTTATCTGGCAGCTCACCATGATTTTGGTAACTTTACAGGACTATGAGCAATGTTTCAATTTTTTTGACAAAAAGAAAATTAGCATCATGAAGATTAGCTGTTCTTGAGATAACACAAAGATAATCAACAACAGTATGGATTCCTAAAAATGAGCAAATAAAAAAAATCAATCAAACAAACTGGCAGACAGAAGTCAAACTGGAGCCATGCAAAGTGATGTAATGATGAAACAGGATCATTAAAAGGGTCACGGGGTTAATTACTTAACACTGGTTTTCATCTCCTGGAGTCAGCAAATGTATCCCAAGGTGAAGCAAAGGTAGAAGTTGGACCTTGTCAGAGGAGAGCCGTGGGACACAGCTACGGACAAAGGCAGCCTGAGAAAAGGGCCCAGAAGCTCTATGTTGAACTCATAGGGCGATACTGGAAGACATCCAGAAAAGGTGGACCTGGCTTTGCACTTCCAAGTCTGTAGTTTGGTCCAAGATGCTCCAGGTAACCTGGAAGCCGCAGGTGCCTGGACACAAATGGCCCCTTGAGGAAGCCGTACCCCAGCTGCCAAGCTTGATAGCCTGGTCAATAGAATTCACATTGTAGAAGATAACTGACACCCACAAATTGCCCTCTGATTTCACACACCCATGGGCATGCATGAGTGTGGGAGGGTACACAGACACACTTACACACAGGTAGTTAATTATAATTAAAGATGTTTACATCATAATTCCTGAAATTTGGATATTTTTTAAAAGCCTTGAGTGGAACTGGAACCAGGCTTGCAGGCATAGAGCTGTAATCACACACTCATGTAGCGGGCACAGGAGCATCTCAAATTCAAGGTGTGTGTAGTAAGACCCTGCCTCCAAAGCAAATTCTCTGAGGGGAAAAAACATAAAATGGATTTTTCTTTTAATGATGAAACGATAGTTGCTTATTAAGAAATAATTAGTACATCGCACACCTGATGTGTGCCTCCTACATTCTGGGGAGCCAGGGGGTGTCAAAGCCTTGAAAGAAAGATGCCACCAATGCTGTCTTTATAGAACTTCTGACCTAGTGGAATAGATATGGTGGCCCATGACTGTAATACAGCCCTCAAGAGGTGGAAATCATAGGACCGATGTGAGACCCTGAAAAGAAAAAGAAAAAGGAAAGAGGAAGAGGAAGGATAGGAAAAGGAAGAGGGACAAGAACAAAAAAGGCAAAGGCATCAAAGTAACTGTCCTCTATTTTCTACCTTAAAGTACTTAATAGATTAAAAAGAAGACAGGAAAAATATACTTTGTGGCATGAATAGCATCTTAATCTCATACTGAGGGTTTTCAAGGAATAGTGCCTACAAAACTATGGTATATGTTTCTACTTAGATCTGAGGTTATTTAGCATTTTCATCTGTTGTATGGTTGATGGACTGGAGTGCATGGTTTACAAAGAGTAGGAAGGCAGAAAAACTGAGTCTTACATTCTAGAATTGGACTCAGATTTTCAATGACCTTGTGCAGCTGAAAGACCTGTGCTAAATAGGCTGACGAGCAACTGGATTGAGAAACGTGTGGGGTTCATAATTCGGTTTTTTAAACCACACAAACTGCAGTGAACTGTTGAGCAAACATTTTTAGATGAAGAAATCGCCATCCAGCATGAATTGGATGCCCACCAGTGAGCAGAGCAATTCTGTTAAGAAGTTATACTTCAGGGCTCAGGTAACCACAATGGGACTGGAAATACAGAGGAGACAGTGTGTCTCCGTGCTACTGAGCAGTCTCTTCCAAGCCACAGTTCAGAACTGGGAGAAAGTGGTCTGCAGAGGGCATTTGGCCCCTGAACTTCTGTACCTCAGAGATTGCTACAGTGAATGGAATAACACACAAGCCACCCTTACACACATTCTCAAAACTGGGATTGGTTTAAGTCAATACACCTACTACTTACAAAACACTCTTATATATGGTTGGCTATGGTGGTACATGTCTTTAATCCCAGCATTGAAGTGTCAAAGATAGGTGGTTATCTGTGTTCAAGGCCAGCCTGGCTTACACAGCAAGTTCCAGGTCAGCCAAGGCTGCAAGATGAGAACTTGTCTCAAAAAAAAAAAGTTATATATGTAACATTGAAACAAGTTTTTCCATGGTCCCCTGTGAGTAAAGAAAGGTTTGGTAGTATTGAAACCAGAACAATAATGTGGCTTTCTTGGTGTCTTAATTAAATGGCAAGAAAATTGTGTTTGTAACTAACATTAGTGGCATAAGAATAGAACTGTTTTTAAAAATAGGGTCCCTAGAGCAACCCAAAAGCATAATAGCCTCAGATGATTTAGTCACAATGACTGTGCCCACGTGTATCAAAGACCAGGAAGCTGATAGCCTTCCAGAACATTTGGACTAGTTAAAAGTCAATAGCTATGTTTATTTGGGGCACAGGTCACGTTGTCACTCTGTTTTGCTGGCACTTGTTTTGCCAGCCACAAAGGTTTAAGATATCTCATTAATGTCACAAAGGGTGGATTACAGAAAAGTATTGGATTAAAATAATCATGTTAAAAATATCTGATCCCAGGGACCTCCCAGGAAATGAACCTTCTGTATTTTATCTATAATTTAACCCAGACCTAGAGATGGCTTATAGTCTCCTCTGTAACACTAATGTTCACTGGGTTTTAATCACAAGAGTAATAATTCACAGAAGCAATTCCTACTTTATAGAAAAGAAACACCACTATAAGGAAAGGCAAGCCTGATTATGATTTACTGTTTGTGATTTTTTTCAGTACAGTCAACCTTCCATGTAAGGATTCTGCATCCATGGATTCAGCCAATCATTGATACAAAATTGGGGGGAATACATCTACATTGAAATATACAAACAATTTTCTAAATCATCAGCATAGCACTTACACTGATTAAGCATGCTAAAGGTTACCTAAAGAGAGTAGGATGGTCCGTGAAGGTGCCACACAAACACACCATTCTTGGCAAGCCTTACACATCCAGACTTTGGTATCTGAGGGAATTCTAGGCCCAACCCCCCTCAGAAAACAAGCAATATTTCAGTCTTAGCATCTCACAGTCTTGCTTTAACCTGAAATTTGCTCTAAACCACCCACACCTGAAAGTCTCCTCCAAGCACGGTATATTTACTCAAAAGATTCTAGTTATTAGGAAGGGCTTCACCAGCCCCGGTTTTCCTCGCCAATGTTTCTCTATGTCAAGAAGCTAGTATCTTCGGTTAACTAATGCCTAAAGTTTTATTTGGTGACAACGACAAAGATGACGATTTCCAGGCATAGGTCAAAAAGATCTGCATCTCTCAGAATGGGATCTTGAGATACTGTTTTCAGTGATCTCCAGGTGAAAAGCCACTGTTTTAGAGGACCTCCCCACCTCCAAAGAAAAGAGCCAATGGCTGGGCTCCAAAGCTAATCCATCTTCAATCAGAGGACTTGAAACCAACCAATGGTGTTCACTTCTTTTTCAGTGAAAGAGAAGTTTAGTTAATTCTCCTAAACTCTGTTAACATCTCTGTCTGTGGATGAAAGCCCTAAGGGAATAGGGACCCTCAATACTGGTTGCTTAGACAGAAGAAAGGGACAATGACTGACCATCCTGACCTTTCTGCACTTTGAGGACACTTCAGTAGCCAGGAATCTGAGAAGAGGCCTGCCATTGGGATACAGGCAGGTCCAGACAAGGATTGTAAAACAGGAAAGCAGATATGATGTCACAGATACATTTCACTTCCATCAGAACCAGTCTTATTCGGCTAAACAGAGATTAGTGAAATGGAAAAGTAAATTATCTCTGGAATGCTTTTGCAAAATAGAGGGGAACTTTTCAGTTTGCTGACAAACACACATGCAAATTTTCAAGCACTTAATCATCACCTGTAAAGTTCTCTGGAATCTAAGTTGGTCGGGAATGGCAGGTTGTTCTAAGGAGGGCGTTTCCAAGGTTTCTTTCTTGTCAGCGCCCAAATCAGAGAGGGAAATGTAAGGCTCTTACTGTAGCTCCTCTAGCTTCAAAGTTTTGTTTCAAAACCCTTCAAATACCGTTCATTGGTTTCTAGTCTCCATGAAAAAAGACAGATATGGAAAAAAAATGAAGCTGAATAATTCAGAAATTGGATTATAAATGATGGATGTCACATATTCCATTAAAAATGCAATAGAAATTAGATTAAACCTTCAATTGAAGATACTTGGTGCTGAAGTTATGTATGCTAGTATTTAAGGGTAGTGTTGCATAAACAATGAATAATTAATAAGATGTTGAAATTTGGCTCAGACAGATAAAATACTGCAGACACCAAGAAACAGCATGAGGTAAAAAATGAAGAGCTGAGTGGTGGCACTCACCTTTGAGTCCAGCAGAAGGAACGGCAATTCAAGGTCATTCTCAGCTACACAGTAAAAGACCAGCCTGGGATTTGCGAGACCCTATTGCTAAAAATATATTTAAACACTAAAAGATGGAGAACATATTTGGAAGGCAATTCAACAGTATTACTTTTAGATAGACTAAAAGACATGCTAAAGAATATTTCCTTACAATAATTCAAAAACTTTTGCTGTCCAAGGTTGCATGAGAAGCTAAATACACATGAGCCCCTTTCCCAGAGCTTTGAGCCCAGACATCTGAAGTGCCAGTGGATGTTACCCTATAACAAGTTCTCTGAGAAGCTAGTCTCCCCGCTATGTGGACCTCTATGTGAGAAGAACAAACTTTGAAGACTGAGCACATTCTAGCATGTAGAACCTTTTTAAAATTAGAGAGCACATAAGATTAACAATAGAAACAAGGAATGATGTAATGAGTATTATTGGCCCACTACCCAACCTGAAGAATTTCAATTCACAATGTATTTCACTCCATTTCTAACAACTATGGCAATCACTGTCTTTCATGTTTGATCTCTGCTTTGCTCTGTGGTTTGCAAGAAAGTACTACAAGTCAACAAGAACCAGGAAATCAAGGACATGATTAGGGAAAATTCTAAAGAAAATCAATATATGTGAAGGCAAGTTCAAACCTGTTAGTAATCCCAGGGACACAGGATTTGTAGGTGTGGATGGTAAACAATTAAGGTATTGTACAATGTCAAGTGTTGGAGAAGGAAGACACAGAACAGTCACACCTGTTGGGAGGGGAGGGTACATTCACACATGTCCTAGAAAATAATATAGAATTGCTTGATCAAATCAATACAGTTATACACTGTTCCTCTGATGTTTGTTCCCAAAAGACATTTCAAGGACATTTAATCTGTTTGCTCAATGTGACTCCTAAGGATTTTTATTTTGGGGAAGGGAGTTGGGTTTTGTTTAGTTTTGTTTTGAAACAAGGTCTCTCCATGAAACCCTGGCGGTCCTGGAACTCACTATGTAGAACAGGCTACCCTCAAACTCACAGAAATCCTCTTACCTCTCTGCCTCTCAAGAGTTTGGATTAAATGTATACACCACCATGCATTAACTTCGTATTTTCTTGAAGCTAACAGTAGAAGCTGGAGGAAGTCTTTTGTCCATGAAGGGAGTAGATGGATAAAATGGGCATGTGCTTTCTCCTTGAGCTACTAGCCATCAAGCAATTGGCAGAAGCAGGAAACAACTCATATGGAAACATAAGATACATTTTTCAAAATCCACTCATGCATCTAAAATCTCTAGGCCTAGTGACACACACCTTTAATCCCAGCAGTTGGAAGACGGGCAGGTGGTTCTCTGAGAGAGCAAGTTCTAGAACAGAGTTATACAATAGAGAGAACCTGTGTCAAAAAAAGACATTAAATACAAAACAATCCTCCTATCAAAATACCATTATGTAATTTCAAAAACATGTATTCCAAAGATATACAGCAAGTATACTAAAAGTATTGAGAAATGGAAGTTTTGAAATAGGCATTGAAAAGAATACAAAAGAAACTAATCAACAGTGGGTGAACAGTGGGCCACACCCTGAGAACAAGAAACTTGACCTGAGTCCACTCCATTTCAAAGAAATCTACTGCACATCCTGCACAGCAGTCAGCAGTCAACTCTCAGTCCTTTAGTCTCTCTGCTTTCTATCTCCATAGCCTAGGCACATTTAATGATCACTTTTCTTTTGACAACTTTTCAGATTTTCAATCCTTGATATGTACTGGTAGATTCAAATTCCAGACACAAAGGAACCCAGCACTAGTGTTGGCATGTCAAATATTAGTTTTATTGTTAGCCATTTCCTACCTGTCACCTTGAAGTTGCTGATCTGACTGTATGCTTCATTGAACAACTAGAAGTCCTCAGAAAGTCAATTCTTGGTAATCCCACTTTACTTCAAACAAGTAGTAACTGAAGTCCAATATTTGTTGATTATTTCCTGTTACTCTGAAATGCTACCACTCTTTACCAAATTCCCAATGGAGTTGAGGATAACTCAACTTTGAACCTCCTGCCTCTGCTTTGCTGGCTTCAATCTTCAGCAACTCCTAAAACCAAATGCCTATAATCCCAGCACTGGGACCATGAATGCAGAAGAATCAGGAGTTCAATGTTATCTTTGGCAACATAGGAAGTTAGAAGCCAGCCTAAGTTAATGATCCTGTCTCAAAAATAAAGGAATGAAAGAATTGTTTTTATGTTATGCTAGAGTCTCCATTAGCCCAAGAGCATCCTGAATAAACTGCAAGTTTCACATCTCAGAAAACCTCTCCACCCCAGTCCCACTCTCTTTTCTTATCAGTTGGGTGCTGAAAACAATGAAACTCCTACTGGTAGAAAGCCTTTCTTCCTATCATACTGTGTTTACTTCTTGGAATTTATTACAGGATAGAATTGCAATGTTAAAGTAACTGGTTCCTTGTTTACAGTCTAATCTTCACACTAAAAATCAACTCTTTGTGATAAGTGATCCGACAGTCACCAAATACATCATCCATATGCATCACACTGTGAACAGGAGATGCCAGGGACAATAAGAGCTGTCCATTCAACCAAGGCATTATGCATTCAGAAGGCTATCTTTGACCATGGAGCTTGAGAGAGGTATTACACACTGTGCCCATTCACTAGACTGGTTCCACAGCAAGAGTACAAGATTTAGGGAACAAACCCAAAGCTTTCCTACAAGATGTCAGGCAAGTCATGCAATAGCTGCAAGGGAAATGAGATTAATAATAGCATGCTCAGCTGGACCTGGTGGCACGTGCCTTTAATCTCAGCACTCTGGAGGCAGAAGCAGGCCAGCCTGATCTATAGATCAAGTTCCAGGATAGCCAGGGCTACACAGAGAAAACCTGTCTCAAAAAACAAGCAAAATAATAAGAACAACAACATTCTCCTGCCTAACTCCATCTACTTCCATTTCTAGCTGATTCGCCCACCACTCAAGAGTGCAAAACAAAGCAGGCTTCTCTCGGATGCTCAAACAAGGTAGATCCAATTCCACTCTTCAAAGTACTGTTTGTATACACAGACATCAGCAGTTCTTCGTTATTCAATTTTTAGATGACTACGTTAACTCCTTTACATAATCAAATTTAAGTCTAGAGTTTAACTTTTTTTTTGTATTTCAACTCTCTAGTCTCTTCTTCCTTAGTAAGCTGCCTTCCCACCAACACTCCCACCAACTGTGCCTATTTCACAAAGGAGACTCTTCTAGGTGTTAAACACACTAGCCCACTTAATGGTGCGGTATTAAAAATGTTTCTATCCCAAGAACAATGTCAGTAGCCTTGTTATAAAGATTTTTATTTTTAATAAGTATTGGTATTTTAGATCTATGTTGTAAGAAAAATATAAATGGTTGCCACATGCTTTTCACCTAGTTTCCCCAGATTAATAGCTTTCTGCTACATGTTTCATGTATCTCTATTTCTATATGATACACTATCATGTCCACTTAACCAGTCACAAGTAAGTGACAGCTGTCACTTGGGCCCTTCGATTTCCTGAAAGGCCCATAACCTTCAATGTGTAAATGAGAACATTCTGTTGTCTAACTGCAGTACATTTATGAAAATCAAGAAAATAGCATCAGTATAACTCTCTCTGCTCAGCCACAGACAGACATGCGATTCTCCTCAATTTTTCGAGTAATGCTTATATAGAGAAAGATATTCTGGATCAGGTTGGAAAGTCCTATCTACTTTCATCAACAGTAGTTCAGGGAGGTGGAGAGATGGCTCAGAGGTTAAGAGCACTGACTGCTCTTCCAGAGGTCCTGAGTTCAATTCCCAGCAACCTCATGGTGGCTCACAGCCATCTACAATTCAATCTGGTGCCCTCTTCTGGCATGTAGGCAGAACACTGTATATGTAATAAATGAACCTTTAAAAAAGAACAGTAGTTCAGTCTCCCCCTTGGTTGTTTTGAGGTCCATCATCACTCTTGTAGACTAAGCTAACTTCAAACTTCCTATGTAGCCAAGGGTGACCTTGAACTCCTGATTCTCCCATGTCTACCCATCAAGTGTTGGGATTACAGATATGTCTTACCATGCCTGGCTCAGTAGTTTAGTATTCACTATAATCTTTTTTTTTTTTTTTTTTTTTTTTGGTTTTTCGAGACAGGGTTTCTCTGTGGCTTTGGAGGCTGTCCTGGAACTAGCTCTGTAGACCAGGCTGGCCTCGAACTCACAGAGATCCGCCTGCCTCTGCCTCCCAAGTGCTGGGATTAAAGGCGTGCGCCACCAATGCCTGGCCACTATAATCTTGATATTTCTGGTTAGTACAAGCTAATTACAATGTCCATTAGCTTATGTTTTTCTGATACATTCTCATAATTAGAGTCATGTAGCATGATAAATAAATGACCCAGAGACAGATATTGGGGTTCAAGCTTCAAGCTGAAGATCAGAAAAGCAAAGCAGTCAGCCACTAGCTCTTACCTCTACCTCAGCTCAGATCAAAGGGGAGATGCTCAAACTGCTCTCGACTTCATGGCTCTTCAGATTGACTCAAGCTGCTATTCTCTCCTTAACATGGATAGACTCCTGAGACTGACTACTGAAGACCTTGCTCTATCTTTGATAACTCTCTAGTGCTGGGACTAATGGCATGAGCTCTGTTCCTCTACTCTTTTAGATTGATTCAATCTCTTATAGCCCTGAGTGACCTTGAACTCAAAGAGATTCATCTGCCTTTGTCTTCTGAGTCCTGGGATTAAAGATGTGTGCCACTACTGCCAGATTGCTGTAGCTTGAGGCTGACTTTGCTTTCTGAATCCTCAGGCAAGCTTTAATAAATCATAAATAATATATCATCACAATTTCACTTTTTGTCTAACCCAAAGAAACTACTAAAATAAAAGAAACTATGTACAATAAATATATACAATTTATATAGGCAATAAGTTCAGCAACAATGTCTAGCCATTTGCATTTAACAAATGAGAAAATACCTAGTCCATTCACATTTGACAAATTCATAGAAAATACCTCATTAGCTACCCTATCTTGTTGAGTC